ACTCTCTCAAGTTTCTCCACATCCTTTTTGAATTGTGGAGCCCAAAACTGGATGCAGTACTCCAGCTGCGGTCTCACCAAGGCTGAGTACAAGGGGAGAATGACATCCCGGGATTTGCTTGAGAAGCATCTATGGATGCAAGCCAGTGTTTTGGTCACTTTACTAGCCACAGCATCGCACTGAAGGCTCATGTTCATCTTGTGGTCAATGATGACCCCCAAGTCTCTTTCTTCCATAGTGCTAGCCAGTGTAGCACTGCCGAGCCTATAAGGATGCTGCAGGTTTTTCTTCCCAAGGTGGAGAACCTTGCATTTTTCTGTGTTAAACACCATCAGATTCTCGTCCGCCCATTTGCTGAGCCTGTCCAGGTCAACCTGGATCGCCCGCCTGTCTTCTGGTGTGGATGCTTTGCCCCAAAGTTTGGTGTTATTGGCAAACTTTGCTAGTCTGCTCCTGACTCCAATGTCCACATCATTAATGAAGATGTTGAACAATATGGGTCCAAGGAGAGCCTTGGGGGACCCCACTGGTCACAGGACACCATGATGATTGACTTCCATCAATTGCTACCCTCTGGGTCTGACCACAGAGCTAATTTCCCAGCCAGCGGATCGTGGTGGACCCAAGGCCACTACTGGCCAGTTTCACCAAGAGGTGACCATGGGATACCAGATCGAAGACAGCAGTGCTGGCAAACTTTCCCTGCCTCATCAAGAAATGGTGGAGTCATGGAAAATCTTGCATACTGCACTTTCCCTCAAGCACCTGCACTCATGTATATGCATCTCCCTTTGTGGTCCATGAAGACCATCTATTCAGGATGGCAGAGAAAAAAAATTGATTGAGATATTGTGAGGCCTGTTGGGAGAATACAAATTGGAACATCAATTCCATCTCAAACTTTAACGCAACTAGTGAATCCTCCAAGTGCAAATGCATCAATGACCTTTTAGGGCCCCCCCAAAGCATGGGAGCAAGCACTCCCACCCCCTGGCATCAGAGCCACAGCACTTCAGTCACTATATGGTCAATATAAACTGGTTCCCAATCAATGATGTTTTGGAACAGTTCAGTTTTGTATGTTTGTACCCTCAGCCTGTCAACCACTGTTTCTGAATGCAGCAGAGTAGCTTCAGTAGAGGCAATATTGCCTCTTCCTCTAGCAGCTTGCAGGCATCACAAAAGAGCATGTCACAGGTCCATTATCTGCAGTGCAAGATAACTGTGCAATACAACCCCTCTGACCCTGACTATGACATATCCCAGCTTGTAACAGTTCATTTGTGGACAAGGATAAGGAGGTATCTGCAAACCATTTACACTGACAGAACCTGGTGCTGCTGGCCATATCACTCAAGGAATTCTACTTGAAAGGCAGCCATGGTGCTGCTGTGTGGCTTGAAAATGGGGCCAATCTCCATTGCCCAGTATTTATTGGGAGTTTCTTACCAGTAACTCTTGCAAGATAAATGTTGGAGACTGGCATGATCAAGGGGTTGGACTAGATTACCTCTTAAGGTCCCTTCCAGCCCTATTTTTCTATGATACCACAGTACCTTGCAAAGCTGCTTCCACAGAACAATGAGATGCCTGCCCTTCTCCTTAGTGCTCTGTTGTAAGCCTGCCTAGCGTGCCTGGCCCAAATTATGTCGAATGAGTGATAACTATAGTTTGTTAGTTCCTATATCAATTCTACTTAATTCTAATTTATATCACAATCAGAACCTGTACCAGTTTGTCCAATGTTAGCCCAAAGCTTTAAAACTGGAGAATTCCCAGAACTGACATGACCTGCATTTCTCATCAAATGGTCTCCAGCTTACAGGATGAGAAGAAGCTTCTAAAATTTAACGAATTAGTTTAGCTTTAGATTCTAAAACACTGGTCACCAACCAGTGGGTCTCAGTCCAAGAGGCTCTCAGATCTGCTGGTGGAGTCGATCCGTGGCTGGGGCGTGGGGCTGAATGCCTGTGCGCATGCACCCCAGTCCAGCAGATCAATCAATGGGGGAGGGAAGGGGCAGGGGCTAGACTGAGGCCCCCACTGTGAGGGACAGCGCTGCATAGGCAGGAGCAGGGGGAAGTTGAATGCAAGTGGGGCCCTGGATGGATGGGACTTACCTGCTAGGGAGGCAGAACCCCAAATAATTGTCTCTCTCTCTCTCCCCCTCTGCCTTAATCTGAACCCCCTCCCCCCTTCCCTCCCCACAGTCTTACCTGCAAGGGGGGGGGGGGAAGGGGAGGTGGTGGCAGCAAACAGCAGATCTTGGGTTGCTTTTAAATGCAAAAGGTAATCTTCTACTTAAAAAGGTTGGAGACCACTGTTCTAAAACATCTGGAATTCCCCATTTCCTTGGCATAAATTCTACCTATTCAGACCGTCACATAACCAGCACTGAGGCTGGAAATGCTATATCTCAAAACAAGTATCAACTAAAAAAAGTCTCTTGCCACTGTTGCCGATTGACAGGACTGACCCTATGAGCTTCAATGTCATGCCACTTTTACATTGCTGCAGATAATCCTTATGCTCTGGGACATAAGAGTTCCTTCCAAGTGCCAGAGCACCCTGCAAGGACTATTAATACTAGGCAACAGGATCAGAGAACTTGCATACTTTTTTTTTTTTTTTTTTTTTTTTTTTTTTAATGTTGGGTAGAAGGACCACTAAAAACAACAGCAAGATCTTTGTATTTTCATATGGTAATAGTACGCTAACAACTCCAAACATTTAACAAGTAATATCTATTATACTAGCAGTAAAGGAGTACTGTTTTTATGGATTAGTTCTCAAAGTACATTTTGCTATTTACCTTTTTCTGGAGTTGCTTCCTGTGAAGAAGATTCAGAGCCAGATTCTGAAGCAGCATTCTCCTTGTTACTGTCTGTACCACCATCATTTGATTTTGGTGGGCTCTGTTGGGGGGGAAAAAAGGAAAAAAAAAAAAAACTTTTGATGGGCAAAAACATGGATACATTTATATGGTTCTTTGAGTAGTTCTCCATGTTTAGAAACGCTATAACAAGGTATCAGAATATCTAGAACCTCTCAGTGCACATAATTCCCTAATATAAATTGTAACCCTATCCTGACTGACCTAGTGGTGATAGTGGTTGCTGCAGCAGAGTGGGTGGGTAGAGATGAGATTGCATTGGTGATGTTTCCACTTGTGCACCAATATGGTAAAATAATATAATGCGAAGAGTGAGGGGGGGAGGTGAGAGAGGGCATAATAGCACTGAATAGCAAAATTTGGGACTTTGCTACCAGCTATCAGCACAGAAGACAGTGACATGGGGTACATCAACACCTGTTGATCCTGCACTGTCAGGGCTGAAATCAGGGCTCCTGAACTATGTGGTATCTTCAACATTGAGTTGCCTTTTCTGTCGGACAGATTAATGCCATGTACCTAGGCCCATAACCCCTTCACCAAGGGGAGTCCCATGACTCATCTTCTCCCTCCTCAGCTTTGAGGGGTGAGGAGCTGGTGCCAGATGTCTCTCTGGAGCCGAACTCCAGTTTGTCCTAAGTACTGGACGCTGAAGCAGACCTGGGATAGGGAAGCAGGCTGGGTTAGAATTATAGGGTTGGAAAAGGCCTCGTGGATCATCTAGTCCAACCTCCTGCAGAAATGCAGGATGTATTAGTCCTATACTAAATGAAATAAATACCTTTTCAGAGTCTTCTTGCAAGCAACTTATGAAAGAGATGCCACATTTTCCCAAGGCAGCCTTTTCCACTAACCTGCTGTTCTAAAAGTAGGGAAGTCCCCCCCACACACAATTTAATTTAAAACTGCTTTTCTGCAGATTAAGAACCCACCGCTTCATATCCTGCCCTATGTAGCAAGGAAGAATAGTTGCTCTTCCTCATCTTCATGGCAATCTTTCAAATATTTTGAATCCCGCTATCATGTCGCCCTTCGTTCTATTTGTCAAAATGAACATACCTAATTTCTATTAGAGTTTGTGTTCCAAGATCTATAACATTGCTGTCCCTCACCTCTGGATCTATTCACATTTCTGCACATCTTAAATAACAGCATACAGAACTGAGCCCAATTCGTTAAGCTAAGGCTTAACAAATACCAAGCAAAGTGGTATCATTACTTCTCACATCTTATATCCAATACTCCTGTTTGATGCAGCCCAAACTTAGTTTTGCTTTTCTTGTGACTAATCACACTGCTTACTCATGTTGAGTCGGTGATCTACCAAAACTCCAAAATCTTTTTCTTAACAACACTACTGGCCAGCTGGTTGCAACAACATAAGAACTGCCATTTCCTGGGTCAGACCACACAGAGGTCCAATCTTGCCCTGTACTGTGGGTCACATTACCAGAGTGGATACTGAAAAAGAATGAACAGGGTATGATCAGGGTTTTTTTCCCGACTGGCCCAGGACAGACTGCTATGGAACTCTACATGGAACCTCCCATTCTGACATTGATCAGTTTATAGTTACTCACTGCTTACCGTTATTCTGCCAGTAATATATGCACCTCTGTGATTCTACCTAGCCCATGACTACAGCAGAGAAATGAGAATGTCCCATGTGACTGTCAAAAGCCTAACTAATGTTCAAACACCATATTTATTTCCATACCACAGGCCCCAAATAAGACAGGCACCTTGTTATGGGAAGGCAGAATGGGGGAAAAGGGCTTAAAGGTTTTTCCAGGGTTTTACCTGCCATGGTTCAAGTTCACTCAGGATGGCAGCAGCTCATCCAGAGGCTGATTGTTTAGGCTGCATGGAGCAGGGGTAGAGGCAATTGAATGTCATTCTTCCCCCCTCTCCCCCACAAACAACTACTTGTTTAACCCTCTCACAGCCACTACCATTAGCCCCCTCAAAACTTTAATTCAATATCACCTGTGAGAGGGTTAAACCTGTAGTTGTTGCCCCTAAGGCAAGGGGAGGGGGAATGTTGCAGACTGAAGGAGTCTGCCCGTTCCATGCAAACCTGGGTGAGCTGGTGCTGGACAGTCCCATCCCCTGCTGCCATTCCCACCTCCATTCTGGCACAGAAAACTATTTCCTCATTTAACATATGTACCCCCATTTCAGACGGCTATTTTTTGATAAAGAGGTACACATAGTACATAAGTAAATACAGTATATTATGTGCATGGCATTTTCTTGATCCATCAAAATAGCTGTCTTGTCAAAGATGGAAATCAATTTGGTTTGGCATTATTTGTTCCTAGCAAGCATCCATGTTGTTCAGAGGTTGACAACCCATGACCACTTATCCAACCCACAGAGTGATGGGGCTTCTCAGGGCCCCTCTTCCCAGCCCTTTTCACCTTCCCATCAGAACTTGCCCAGATGGCAGCCACTTCCCCCTCCCCCACACCCACCCATCTTGGGCATTTCCCCATTGGAATACCCTCAGCAAGTAGAACAATGGAACAGGCTATGTCTACATGCAAATCAATATGGATAATTAAGAGCCAACTCAGGGGCCTGAAACACCCACAACCCACACATTTCCTGTTCTTGTCCCTCTTCATCTGGCTACATTATTCAGTAACAAGCCAATTTTTGTGGAGTTTATATAGTGCAATACATAAGGATAGTGGGAAAGCAAATGTAGAGGTACTTCATACTTTCATACAAAAGCAGTAGTTTCATATTAATATGCATAAACATTACAGATCACTTTTGAAAAAGTTTACTGGTTTGTAGGTAATTGCAATAAACAAATGTGATATCTGTACCTTTAAACCAACAAAATAGCATGTTCAAAAATCAAGCATGGTAGTTAAACACTGGAACAAGCTACCTAGAGAAATTGTAGAATCTCCATCTCTGGGAGGGGGGTGTTGTTTTTGAAAGTGTAACACAAATTAGGGTCTAAGTTTCAGAAAACTTTATAGAGTAACTAACTACCAAAAAAATAACTTGGTTAACTTTGAGTACTGCAGCAAACTCAGGAGTATATGCAAAATGCTGGTCCCCCACGATCACTGTTTGAACTTGATTCAATTACTTTCAAAAGATTTTTCTGAGAGGTTTTCAGATATTATATCTCGTAAAAAAGACACAGGACTGCTCCAGATCCTTTCACAGGCCACAGTTGAAGGAAGTGAATCATCCTTGGAATTCAATTACTTAATTGCCAAGTAGTTTAATACTAAAAAAAACCCAAGCATCAATAGTCCTGAAGTCACTGGGCTTTTATACAGCTCCTCTAAAAGAATATTCAAAGACTCAGCATGAAAATAGATAGCTTGTTCAGCTTAACCTACATCTGTGAGAAAACATTTTCACAGCTGAAGTTGAACAAGTCCAGCTTCAGGTCACAACTGATAAGACTCTGATCTTCATTCAGTTGTGCAGACTGGAATATCAAGTCTCACTCCTAACAGGCCTACCACAAAGGCCAAAGCAATTTCACTTCTGAGACCAGGTGTGTCTCCTCAGAATGCACCCTACACCTGATCATCACTGCACCAGCTCTGCAGAACCCACTGTAGGGAAAACCACAACCACCAAGCCTGCTGCCTCCACTGCTTCTGCCCAGACCACTGCAGTGAAGGCCCCCTTCCCCCAACATCAACAAGTAGCATGAGATCTGCTGCCACCTGATCCCACCCCACATCAAACTCTGTGTAGACACTGGCACAAGTTGATGAGGCTGCTGCAATCTCATGGCCACAAACATATGGCATAGTAGCACTGTTCCTTGCAACAGAGGCTGCCACCCAAGAGGCAGTGGAAAAGTGATCTCTGCTGGCGGTGTTGATGTCCCCCTCAAACTTCAAAGGACCTCTAAACCAGGGCAGTGCTCAGCTCCATGCCTCCTCAATGTGGCCCATACCAAACCACTTCTCAGCCTGGGAAAGGTCACATCCCCAATAACATCCCTCCTACTGGAGTGCTGAGACCCCAGCCTCCACCACCACATGCAATCCTTCCCCTGCCAGGTCACCATCCAGTTGGTGATGGGTGCTAGGATGGAGGTAGAGGAATCCTTCATGGTCTCCTTCTGGGGTATATCCTATACAGTCCATTGCTCCTCAGAGAAGACCACATGATTCTTACGGTAGGCACTGGGATACCTATGCTAGGAGTGGCCAAAGACAAGCAGGTCTACTACCTAGCCCAATGATCCTCAATCAGGTACTGCAGCCCCCCAGGGTGCCTTGAAATCCTTTCAAGTGAGGTGCAAATAAAATTCACAAGATAAACCATAAGTTTTTAAATAGGAATCCATAATATTTAACAAAAATTCTGTGATGGATCTTTCTGAGCTTCTTGCATCAGAAAAATTACTACTCTATTATTTTTCCATAGAAAACAAGTAAAAAATTAAGAGCTGCATTTTCCAAGGGGTACCTTCAGTTTAACAAGATTGAGAAACACTGTCCTTGGCCACAGCCCCTCCATCAGGAATGGATTCATCCCTGCCCACCAAATGGTGAGTAGTAGCTAAACCCTAAAGAACAGCTAACAACT